CGGGCCTCACCCTCGTACGTGACCTCGGCCTGGTAGCCGCTGTCGCCCTGCACCGTGTAGGTCACCACCTGGACCCGGCCGTCGGGCAGGTTGACCCGGTACTGACCAGAGGTCAGCACACCATCACTCTCCTCTTGGTGTGTGAAGTCGTTGCCTGAGTTGGGCTCCTGTACCGACCAGCCGTAGTTGTAGGGCATCCCCTGTCCGCCGCCGCCGCCGAAGCCTCCCGCGCCGCCGCCAACCCGCGATCCGAATCTGCCGCCGCTGTTGCCGCTGCCGAAGCCTCCCGCGCCACCGCCGACCGCTGATGCGAACCTGCCTCCGCCGCTGCCACCAGGAGTGTACACACTGCTACCAGGAGTGTACCTGCTGCTACCGCCAGCCACCGATGCCGCTCTGCCTCTGCCACCACCGACATTCTGTCCACTGTCTGCGGCGGGGCTGTACGTTCCGACGGCGCTGCTGAAGACGCTGGCTTCCGGTGAGGGCTGCGGGCGCTCCGCCGAGGCTGGAGGTCCCGGCGGCCCCGGCGAGGGCCCGGTCTCATAGCTCTCGGGGCTGGCAGAGACCACCGTGGCCAGAGCGAGCGTCGCCAGCAGGTGTGTAGGGCCCATCGTTGTTGCTGTTGGGGCGGTGCAGGGACTGGTGTCTGCCGCTGGGAGACGCTGGCATTTATACCGACTGCAGGGTCAGGGGTCACATGTCAGTGGATTGGCGGCTGTGATCGAGGGTAAGACCTGGATGTTGCGTTTGACCTGCTGGTGGTTGGGGAGAGAGAACGATGGGGAGAAAGGGCGACAGCCTTGTAACGATGTTGCGCCTTGTGGTGGTACAAAATCTAGACAGGCGTGCTCCTGGCTCAGTTCTGAGTAAATTAGGTTATATTTGCATGCGTTTCGAACATCTTTATGACAAATGGCTCCGTTAACGTGGCAATGTTCGCCCACCTCGCACGCTCCGCGGTGTCGTCAGTTGCCACCCTCCACCCGCGCAGGCCGTAAAATGCCATGTAGCGTCCCCCAAAAACCGTTGCTGTTTCAAAACCAAAAAGCTAGGAACATGTTTTGGTGTTAAAATATGTGGAATGAATGTCCCACAGGCCATTGAAAAGTTGGACGCAATTGCACATGCCTCATTCTCATTTTAAAGCACCGTGGCTTAGGACCAGTGCATTTTCAGACTGGGTATTTGATCAAACTTGGTATATTAATTTTTTTTAAATTATAGCATACGGGTCAGGGGCTAGATGGAGTCCAGAAATATAGGATACCAGTAAGTGATGGTTGAGCTGTGCGTCTAGTACGTCCAGAAGTGCAGGGTTCGATTCCCACCGGTGCCAACTTCCAAACATCATTCGTACAACGGCCACGTCCAACACATCCCGTTGTGTAACGGCTTTTCCAATACCAGTATAAGTGTATTGCCGAGCAGAGACAGTTCTGATATTGTGCGCCACTGAAGACTCATGGTTACCAATCCCAGTTATCACACCAGTATAGCAATGGGTACCGTGATTTCATCCTCGGTGCACTAAGACGCAGCGTCTGCAGCGTGACGTCACGCAGTTTCAGTCGCTCGTATTCCACAGCGCGACCTCTGACGAAACGGCGTGTGCTGGCGTCCTCGCCGAGCCGGGCACCAGACTACAAGACTAACAGAGCACCACGCCGAGACGGAGTACCAGCCGGTGCGCACCCTCGCCGTGTGGGACCCGTGCGGGACTCCTG